GGGCAAAAATACTCTTCTCGGAATGATAACACACGAGAAAAGAAAGCCTTTTACTCAAAGGTGGCTAAAATCTTTAGAGTGAAGTCTCTCTCTGATGGAGTCACCATGCAGGGGTAGATTTTGCTGACTGCACTTAAGTTCACGGATTCATAGAATATTCTGAGTTGGAAGGGTCAAGGATCATGGAGTCCAGCTCTTAAGTAAATCCACACAGGAATCGAATCCTCGGTGTATTAGCACCAGCTGAGGCTGCAAATAATCATGGCCATAATTTAAAAACATGGCTGTAATTTAAAAGAAAGTAGCCAAAAGAATAATTTTCAAGGCTAAGACAGAAAATCATTACTTGTGTACCTACAGACTTTTCAAATTAAATCTGAAAGCTGAACAGTAAATCAATTAACTGTTGATTTTTACCTCAATTCATTAATTCTGAAGCAACTGCTGCACTCCTGAACAAAATCTGTCTCTCAGTTCAGGATCCTTATTTTCAAACCAGCAGAATCTGGTGTCACTACAGAGTGTGCTGGTTGTGCCTCAGAAAAACCCAAGTCCTGTGTCCTGCCCTTGTGGCTCTGCAGAGCAGCTGAAGCAGTGCAGGTCAAGGGCTCCACAACCCCTGCACAGGGGATTTAAAGGTGGGATGTGAGATCATGTTCGCTTAAATGTCTTCATTACTTTTTTAAGAGCCTGGTGCAGTCGGTGCAGACAGGATTTAACACCTGCGTGACCAGCCAGAGAGATCGACAGCTGCCTCTGGGAGTGTCAGTGCTGTACCTGTTCACAGCAGGGAGAATTGCATCAGCTTTTGCTAACATTTAAGTTGGCCGTGCTAGTTCATATGCGGCAATCTAATTAAAATCCATTTTCATACTGGCAGGGCTTGAGGAATCCATTCCCTGTCCCCAGTAAGAGCNCCTCGCCCAGCAAACGGCACAGAGCAGCCCGAGCTCGGCACTGCTCTCCCCCTCCCCGTGCGGCCGGTACTTACGGTAGAAGACATATTCGGTGTAGCTGGACCAGACCTTGTCGTCTGTGTACTGGTTGACGAAGGAAGCCGTCACCGAGGAGTTACAGGCCACCATGTGGAATCCACACTCGGACAACATGTCAAAAGCCCTCTCCAGGTGCTTGAACTTGAGATAAAACCTGGAGGTGTACCTTTCTGGAGCCCTGTCCGGGTCTCTGCTTTCATTCAAACTTTCTCCAAAAACCTCTTTGACCAAAGAAATCCTCCCACAAACCAAAATCCTTGGGACCCTCCTGAATTTGGCATCTGCTTGGCTCTCCCTGCCAATGGTGCACGAGCCACGGTAGCCGATGGTGATGAATCCCCACTTGCGGTCGGGCGGCAGCAGTGATGGGGGGCAGATTCTGGTGTCGCTGCCCTGGGACACCTCTTCGTAGTCACTGTGGCAATAATCATCAGGGCTTTGCTTGCTGTCGTCGGGAGTCAGGAGCTTGACCAGGTCCGGGAGCTGGAAGTACTCAGCCTCCCTCCTGAGCCTTCCCTTCTCTGGGAAGTGGTCGGGCAGAACCACTTGCTTGTCCCTGAGATAGTCCAGAATATAGCGGAACAGGAAACCATCTCTGTCAATGAAGAATCTTCCCTTGGAGTCCTTGGCCAGATCGTTGGCCATGTCTCTCTTTGGGGTGAACATTTTCCAGAGCAGGGAGTGAGGGGTGCCAACCAAGGTGGAGTGGCGAGTGAAGTAAACCTGGCCGCCCACGTTGAGCTCCACCACCTCGGGGAAGGAGGGCAGCCCTGGCCCCTGCTCCCGGGCAGGAAGGTAAGTCCTGCAGTTGCCACTTAGAGCCATTGTAGTTTAAACTGGAAATCAGCAGCACGGAGAAGCAGGACTGTCAATCACATCAGAGGGTAGAATAAAGCTCCCAATATTAAGAAGAAACAAGGGGGAAATGAAAATTGAGAAAATAAAAATAGCCAATAGGATTGTTTAAAAGAAAAATCTGAATTGTCCATGAGTGACAGTGTGGCAGAAGTGGTTTATACACAGAGCCACGGAGGCTGGAGAGCAATCACCTCATGACATGCAATCACATCATCAGATCTTCCAACAAAGCCATCAAAATCAAGGTCAAGCCAAGCCTATGGTCATTCACAGGTCTGCGAAAAGGGGAAGCAAAACAAGACACAAATTACTCTTTAAGCATCACAGCTGCTGCAACAGAGCAAAGCAGAGCAGTCTGTAGAGCCAAGCTAAATCTGCTAAATAGGTCTCTCTATTTTGGCAAGTTCTACGCTTCTATTTCACAAGTATTCATCAATGGAAGGGCTACATATGACTACACTGTTTAAAAGCAACTGCAGACTTCATCTTTAAAGAAACATCTAAATTAGACATGCACATGAGGGAACAAGAACGGGTAGTCTTACCTTGGTAACAATTAATGCATAGCTCTTGTAAAGAAAACCAAAATGTCAAGACACTCAGAACACACATACAGGCACACAGGGTCCGGGTAGTGTGAATCCGATCCCAGCAAGGGACAGCAAAGGCAAGAGAAGTGCTCTTAGCAGCATCCACGGAGGTCTCAAGTGTTAAACCGAGTCACAGGGAAGTTAACCGTGGCGGGTGACGAGGAAACCAGTACATACAGCACGGCGGAAAAAAATAAATAAATAAACAAACAAACAAATAAATGAAATAATTCCCGAGCGGATGCGCCGGGCTGGGGGAGCGGGAGGGCAGCGGGGGCCGGCCCCGATGACTTGCAGAAAG